TAACCACCATAATGCTAACCTAACCCAACCAGCTTAACCTAACCTCAGGCGCTATTTGACCGAAGCCAGCACAAGCCACCTACATGGTACCCCAACCCTAGCCCCAGCGAAGCAACCCCCTGGCCTGTGAAAGCCCAGGCGTTAGCCCTAGCCCAGCCGAAACCCAGCCTAGCCGCCGCCAATGCTAACCTGGCTGGCCAGTAGCCTAACCACCCTTAATTAACTGGCACAACCCATTCGACGACAACCTAATGACCAGGCGTAGCCCCTAACCCAGCCAGTAACCTAACCGCGCCAATGCAACCCTATTGTGGTAACCTGGCAATGACCAGGCAATTATTTCTTCCAGCCGACCAAACCTAACCACCCATAATGCTAGCCTGTGACCGACAACCTAGCCGCCATAATGCTATTTCGCCCGGCAACCCAGCCTAACGCCTAACTGACCAAACATTAGCCTAACCCAACCAGCTTAACCTAACCACCATAATGCTAACTAACCCAGCAAGCAACCTGGCAACCAGCATTAACTTCTTAAGCCAGCTTAACTTCTTGCATAATGCTAACTTCTTACAACCAGCTTAACCTAACCTAATAACCAAACGTTAACCTAACCCAACCAGCTTAACTAGCCACCATAATACTAACCCTAACCCAACCGACTTACTTCGCAGCAACCAAGCATTAACCTAACCTTGTAACCTAACCACCATATTCTTTAACCCTAACCCAACCAACAACCTAACCACCCGCCATGCTAACCTAACCCAGCAGCCTTCCCTAACTTAACCAGCAACCCTAACCAAGCAACCTAACCCCCTCACCAAATAATGGATTAAAGACAGTTATATAGACATTAAATATTTTTGTTCCTTTGTTTTTATTTATTATTGTTAGAATAATTCTCTACACTCTTGGCTGAGGTAATATTTGGCCTTGTATAATAACTCATGTAAATAAATCGATTTTTTAATGGGGGTTTTATTTTCAGCTTTTTACATATGTTGTATTGCGAGGTGTGTTGTGTGTGTGTGTGTGTGTAGTCAGTGTATGTTTGTTTATATGTGTGTGTTTGTGTGTGTAGTCAGTGCTTGTTTGTGTGTGTGAGAATGATTAAAACCAGTGGTGGAGAAAATTGACGTCCTAACCTATACAGTGTGGGTAACAGGGAACCAGTGGTGGCTTACTGTAAGTACGATTATATGTGATTAAAATACGATTATATGGGATTAAATACGATTATATGATTAAATACGATTATATGATTAAATACGATTATATATTAAATACGATTATATGGGATTAAAATACGATTATATGATTAAATACGATTATATGAGATTAAATACGATTATATGTGATTAAATACGATTAATGATTGAAATGCAGATGAAGACAGAAGTAAACAAAGAAAGAAAATCAAGACAAAAGAAATGAACAACGAAAAGAAAGATAAAAAATAAGAACTCAAAGATAATAATAAATAATAAAAATCAACAAAACTGTAGGTAAAATAAAAACAAAATTATAATATAAGTAACGGCAAATAATATAGTAAATTTAACTTTGTATATTATTCTGAACTGAGGAATATTAACAGGAATTTAACATACGATTCTGTAAGACTTTACCTGGGAAATATTTAGTGGATATTAAAGAAATGGTTAGTGTCTCTCTCTCTCGTCAGTGATGGATGTGTGTGCTGACGGCTGATGGTAATGACTGACACTGACCTGATGACTGACACTGACCTGATGACTGACACTGACCTGATGACTGACACTGACCTGATGACTGACACTGACCTGATGACTGACATCTGATATATATTAAAGAACTGACAGTGTTAGTGGTGTTTTTTTTTTTAGTGAATTGTTTGTCTGATTTATTTTTTATAGTGTTTATCTTATGTAATATTAGTGTTATTATTATTATTATTATTGTTGCTGGTATTCTATTTATCTTCCTCCTCCTCTTCCCCCTCTTCCTCTAAACACAAGAGCACTACATATGCTGTAATATCGACATATGTTGTAGACTGTAGAGAAACAACTCATGTTACTCTTGAATCCATGCTGATTCAGAAGGGCTACAGGGCGTTAAATATATCTACTTATTAAGAATCTAAGGTTTCTAGTTCGATCCTGGGGCACTTTTAATATATTTTCGTATATATTGATGTATTTTCACGTATAATGTACACAAAGAAGAGTGTGTGTGTGTATGTACGTGTATGTGTGTGTATGTACGTGTATGTGTGTGTATGTAGGCCTACGTGTATGTGTGTGTATGTACGTGTATGTGTGTGTATGTGAGGGCCACGGTGTTACTGAAGCTATTATATCCACTAATGCCTTGGGCCTTCAGTGGGTTCTATATAGCATGTAATAATATAATCTAACCTAATTGTAACGTAACCCAACGTAATTGTAACCTAACCTAACGTAATTGTAACCTAACCTAACGTAATTGTAACCTAACCTAACGTAATTGTAACCTAACCTAACGTAATTGTAACCTAACCTAACCAAATTGTAACTTGGCATAAACGAACTTAAACTTAATCTGATCTAACCTAACTTAACCTAAATTGGGATTGATTAGAACAGGCTGGGTTAAGGTACAGTAAGTTAGGTTGGGTTACATAAGGTTAAGTTAAGTTAGAGGTTAGGATGGGTTACACAATTTAATCTAAAATAAAATAACCTACCTTAATCTAACCAAACTAAACCTGACCTAATCTAACTTAACCTGACCTGACCTGACCTGACTAACCTAACTTAACCTAACCTAACCTAACCTACCTTAATCTAACCAAACTAAACCTGACCTAATCTAACTTAACCTGACCTGACCTAACCTACCTTAATCTAACCAAACTAAACCTTACCTAATCTAACTTAACCTGACCTGACCTAACCTACCTTAATCTAACCAAACTAAACCTTACCTAATCTAACTTAACCTGACCTGACCTAACCTACCTTAATCTAACCAAACTCAAACCTACCTAATCTAACTTAACCTGACCTGACCTAACCTACCTTAATCTAACCAAACTAAACCTGACCTAATCTAACTTAACCTGACCTGACCTAACCTACCTTAATCTAACCAAACTAAACCTTACCTAATCTAACTTAACCTGACCTGACCTAACCTACCTTAATCTAACCAAACTAAACTTACCTAATCTAACTTAACCTGACCTGACCTGACCTGACCTAACCTAACCTAACCTAACCTAACCTACCTTAATCTAACCAAACTAAACCTGACCTAATCTAACTTAACCTGACCTGACCTGACCTAACCTAACCTAACCTACCTTAATCTAACCAAACTTAACCTGACCTAATCTAACTTAACCTGACCTAACCTAACCTAACCTAACCTAACCTACCTTAATCTAACCAAACTAAACCTGACCTAATCTAACTTAACCTGACCTAATCTAACCAAACACAACTTAAACCTAATATAAGTAATAAATCCCCATAAGTAAAAAACAAAAACAAACAAAGATAAAGAATAATAAAGAATGATAAATGCTTACAATAAGAGAATGGGGGGGGAGAATGAGGAGAAAGAAGAATGTTGGCTAGCAGGGGTGAGCGTCAGCAGCGGTCGACGCCAGAGTGTGTTTCCCGCCAGCAATTCTTTTGTTGGCCCCACCCCCGCTATAGTGGCTTCTCTCTCTCTCTCTCTCTCCCTTTGTTAGAGAGAGACAGAGAGAGAGAGAGAGCCGCTTAAACAAACATTCATTTCCTTAACCTAACTTAACCAGACACTACCTCATATATCCACTACATATTTCTCATTCTACTAAAGTACAGTCATTATGTAATAGATTATGATGTAGCATTTAGTTAGGGTTAGGTTCTGGTGTACTGTAACTATTTTGTAATATTAGTTTGGTATGTAATTGTTTTTGTATTGAGGTTGATGTGTGGTAGTGGTGGTAGTGGTGATGGTAGTGGTGGTGGTAGTGATGGTAGTAGTGATGGTAGTGGTGGTAGTAGTGATGGTAGTGGTGGTAGTGGTGATGGTAGTGGTGGTGGTAGTGATGGTAGTGGTGGTAGTAGTGATGGTAGTAGTGATGGTAGTAGTGGTGGTAGTGGTTCAGAGTGTACCAGCAGTGTCGAGTTGGCCACAGACTCAGTTACCAAAAATGCCCTCACTTCCTCCACACACACACACGTCCCTTGTCGCCATTGTATGTACATATTAGAAGTACTACAGTAACCCAGATCATTAACTACCACCACACATCACAATCACCTAACACAGCAGAGAAATATCGATAACACACTACTGGAACTTTTCTAGTGTGTTATCATAGGTAAAGATATCACACCAACCCAGAATAATGTGTTAAGTATCTCAGAGTTTTCTTCCTTGTTGTTATCTTAGATTTTTACTGACTCCTGATAAGGTTGACTCCCAGTTCGAGGGAATATTTGTACTAACGAAACCACTTTTATGGGTAGACTATCGAACTGGTCATTTGTACACGAGTTCGGGTCAACACTTAGAGCAAAACGTGCATAGTACGTAACTAGATTTTCTCGTGAATGGAACACGTTCTAATGAGTCATTTGTTTGTGAGTGACACTTTGAGTTATAGACTCGACTGACAGGAGACTCATTATGAACTATGGCAGGATCTGTGTTGAGGCTCGTCAAGGCTCCAGGGTCACTACATGCTCTGGTTGTCGACTTGGGTGGGTGTAAGAGGCGATGGTTTACGAGTTATGTAAGACGATGATGGTATACAGGTTGTGAGATATGTGGCAGGTCGGTCGGCTCTGCCTGGCCATCGTGTAAGGTGAGCTGCGCGTGTGTACTGGGCCACGCTGTGGAGGGGTCCTGCGCTCAGGTATTTTTACATGTCCCACGAGTACTGTATCCCTGACAGGCACCGCCCCACCAGCCAAATATAGGTTGTGCGCACAAACCACTTGCGCAGCCCTTTCTGCGCACAGGATATAAAGAAGGAGCACTCGGAAAAGCCCGCCAGTGCATCACAGCTAGGGTCGCAATCATGCCTGCTTCAAAGGGATCCCGTTCTTCCTCCAAGAAGGCGAAGAAAGGAGGAAGCAATGTCTTCGATATGTTCACCCAGAAGCAGGTGGCGGAGTTCAAGGAAGGCTTCCAGGTGATGGACCGCGACCGTGACGGCATCATCAGCAAGGACGACCTCCGTGGTGTGTACGACGAGATCGGTCGTATGGCCAGCGACAAGGACCTGGACGACATGCTTGCTGACGCCCCCGGCCCCATCAACTTCACCACCCTCCTCCACATGTTCGCCTCCCGCTCCTCTGGAGAGTCTGATGACGACGATGTTGTCGCCAAGTCTTTCCGCGCCTTCGAGAAGGAGCCCGGCCAGATCGACTCCGAGCAGTTCCGTGCTATGCTCATGGCCTTCGGTGACAAGTTCACCAACGACGAGGTCGACGATGCCTTTGAGCAGATGGATCTCGATGAGGACACTGGTATCATCAACTCCAACGCTCTTATTGCCATGCTCTGTGCCGGTGCTGGTGACGAGAAGACCGACGCTGCCTAAATACACAAATCCAAGTCCCGGTGTCCGCGCCCGGAAGAAATGTGGGTGAGCAGTAGCGGAAGCCGACACAAGCAGGGGTTGCTTGCTACCTGTGGCTGTGACACTCAGGCGCTTCTTGGCGACTACTGGCCCCTGCTGCTGCTACTTCCCCCTCTCATCAGATTCGCGTCTTCTTGTTCCATTCATCACCAACACCCATATTTCTTACGGGCCAAGTCACACGCAGGATAGACACTCGAGGCTGGTCCCTTCGTCCTTACCCTCCTCTGTGATCCTGCTGTGAGCAACTCCATCCACATGAGACCCTTTAAGCGGCGGCTTTCACCACAGGCCTCAAGATCGGCGTCCACGAGTCCGCAGTGTCTCTTGAAACCAAACACCAAAAGCCAAGTCGGGAGCGGTGATAGTGACTGACAGTGAATTGATTGTGTAGATTGCCGCCGTGAACCACATCAGAGAGGGCCTACCGCTCCCTGTGTCGTGTAACATCGGAACAGTGTAGGAGTGAGACATCTGTGACTAAATGTATGGTGAAGAACGAGGCCCTACAGTGAACCTGTGTGAGGGAGCACGGTGACGTTTACCCCGACTCAAAATCAATATGGTGACGACTTTTACGTGCTGGAGATGACCAACCATCTGTTCCTGACGCAGTTGTCGTCTCTCAAGCTGACGGAGTCGGGTCTCTGTCTACTGTTGCTCGAGCATTTGTAAATGTTTCATTTTGTGAAGCATTGTATTGGCATCTGCAAGATTATATTCAATAAAATGTTTTACAATCGCCATTGTATTCTTTTAACATGCTATATATCCACATGGTCGCGTGGCCATTTATAAATACATTTTGCTTAGGGCATTAAAATATTTGGAAGTGAACCAAATACCAGCATTGATATACAAGTTAAATGTTCAGTCCTACAATATTGTCAATGATATTCTCCTTTTTGTGCTGGTAAACTTTAACTATCAAGTGTTTTATAAATCACAGCAAGACTACAAAACATTCCTCAACTAAGAATAGACCCGCTTGTCTTGCCTCACTTTACAAATATTTCCAAGTTTTTGCTAATTCATTCTTTTTTTTTTGCCCTATTTATATCTTGATCCAACAGAAAGGAAAATTAACAATATTTTTGAAAATTTGTCAAGAGTACAGGAAACATGACAAAGGAATCTGGAGGAGAGAAAGACCTACATGAAGAAGCTCTGAAGTTGCCAAAAATGTGGAGGTATCCTGTAGTCAAGTACCGCTCCCCAGTCCACCATCACACACTACCTGAAATAGCCTCATCCTTCACCCCTCAACACCAGCTGCCTCTCGTTTCCTTCCCGTCAGATAAATAAACAAAACAGAACTTTGATTTCCTAGTTCCATTTCTCAACACTTTATATTCCTACGTAGCCGAGTATTATTCTACACTAATGCCTTGGGAGCGTACGTATCCTAGCTTCACTTAACACTACAAACCTGCGTATTCTAGCTTCACTTAACACTATACAATCCTACATATCCAAGCTTCTCTTAACACTATACAATCCTGCATATCCAAGCTTCTCTTAACACTATACAATCCTGCATATCCTATTCAACAATACTAAAAACCCGTTCATATGCATAGTCATCATTCCATCTGTTACAATACTAGAACAGTTTACTCACACGACAATTATTAACATTTTATATTCCAAAATGTATATAGATGATTTTTTGTTCGGAAATATGACACAATGGAAGAAGGATTTTTGGTAACCACATTGAGATTTCAGGAGTCTTTGTGATATATTTGGAGTGTGTGTGTGTGTGTGTGCACCTTGAGGACATCTAACACAGGAAATGGTTTAAATCTTTGTATTATTTAGCAAAAATAGAATAATTTAGGATTCCTTATTGCTAAGAGACACCATGGATATATTTTCAATTCTTTCTATGAGATGGAATGAAAAATATTATGTATTGATGATAATTTTCTTTAGGCAATATGAGAAAGTAAATATGAATGAAAATAAAAATATATACGAATTCTTACAGACATAACACGAGGAACAGAAATACTTAGTAGACCAGTTCAGTCTATCAGAAAAAAAAATATTACTCCTAGACCTATGTTGGCTAATTCATATCGACAGGAGAATAATGATACAAAAATCAATAATTTAATAGTTGTTTTAGCCATTGATAGAGTCAGTTTACAATACCATCTACAGCATCATTGAATATTTAGCATAGCATGTAAATATAGGTAACATGAGACGTATTCCCCTAAAAAAAAAAAAACTCCTCGCAACAATACATAAACTAAATAAAGAAACGACTAAAGAAAATAAGAATTACAAAGGAATTAAAAAAAATTCTATATTTACACAAAATAGTGGAAGAAAGATGCCAAGGAACCACAGTATCTATAAAAGGGTGTTAGTACCGGCACAAGTCTCTTCTCCCTCCTCGCCAAGATAGCAGACATAGTGGCAAGTTTTCTCTGTGTTTATTTTTGTATTGTAAATCACCTCAGGTCGTCCCAGGGAGCCGGCGGATACCCTCTACCCCTGCTGCCCACATCTGACTACACTATTAACTGGGGCTGACACATGATTTTCATCTGCGTTGATAATTTTGATACACTGTGCTGACTTTAGATAATTTGATAGGGTACTGCGATAGTATGGGGTCTACCGAGCTGGAGTTCTGTCTACTGGGATATTTATACTGTAGCATCCTAGTCTAGGTTAGGTTAGGATATATTTGATCAAGTTAGGTTGGGTTAAGGTGGGGCGACGCTTGAGAATGACAAGAATATTCAATTTACACAATATGAGATAAAAATACCAGGGTATACCTTGATGTTTTCTCCGTTCTCTGTGCATATACGTATATTCTGCGCCCCTCCCCACCATTTGCTGTTTAGGTATTAATATATACTGTACATTACTATTAAAATAAATAAATTTTTTTATTATGGAGGTTATGATACGTTAGAAATAGCTGTATTTATTCACGTGCAGACACCATTCAGATGTCAGATGGCGACACAGAAAACTTTCCATATCTCAAAACCTAAGTTATGATAATTTGAAAATTATCTCCACCTTTATTTATCAACCAATTTGAAACATAAACCTGTGTACAAAAAGAGGATTAATAGGGGCATATTTCGTACCATTAAAACTGTCATATAATGATGGATAATGAAATTCAACAAATATTTAACTATATTTTAACTCATTTTTGCACTAATGCGAATATTGTTACAGAACAATAAATTAATATATTACAAATGTTGATGGTACTAACTGTAGCTATGTGTTTGGTTATTACAACATATTCTAAGTAAAAGCAGTATAAATATATTGATTAAAGCTCGGTGAAATAAACTGGGGTTAGGTTAGCGTTTGGGTGGTTAATCTTAGGGTCAAATAACCTGGCTTGCTTAATCTTCCTCTGCTCCATTTGATATATTGATAACTTCTTTTAACTTGCGACTGTGACCTCTAGAATTATAAAACATATGTTAATTGTATGTTTTAGGTCAAAGTTTAGTGCATATTCCCTCTTCTTCAGCTGTGAGGAACATTTCACTTTACTAATTCCTTTTGAGAATCCATCCTTCTGATGTCAATGACCCCATGTATGAATTAACTTGTCCTAACTCGATCTGTCATGAATTAGGACGCGTTGTATTTAAGTTACGAATTTAGTGTTATGGTTTGATCACAAGGACTCATTTAGTGATGTTTATTTTATATATTAAGGCTGTTGTATCTTGTTATATTCGTTATTATCAACTTATGGTGCAAATTGAATCATCCCGTTAATATTGGCCTCGGGTTCAAGGTCGGCCGTTCACATTGCAACATATTATAAAGTACAATATATATGTACTAATATATGTACTTATTGTGTGTTGTATCGTGTATTTTGCATCATATTGTATCTCGAAACACAGGTGTACTTGTCTCACGTATTTCATGAGCATAATACTTATAGTCCACGTTCATGAGAAATACAGTTGCCATACGGACGTTCATTATCATACGCGTACGGTAACTCCCCAGCTGTGACACTGATGATAACGATATATTGAGCAAACTGATACCACGATGATAAGGGATTGCTAAAAGGTAGTACATTATCAGTAATCACCGATAACATACACACAAAAATTTGATGATAACGTAGATATTTCAGCAGCATACAGTATACTTAATGGTGGTGGTAACTGACTCACACTTCCTTTGTTACTTTTCTTGAGTGACTCACGGACCATGGGAACACTATTTACTGTTATCTTCTTCGCCACTGATCGGCTCGTTAGTCACGAGGGCGATCAGTCACGTCTCTGTTGGTAAGTACAGTACTGGCTCTCTGTTACACACTGTTAACAAGTACTGGACATGTACTGACTCCTGAATGTACCTGAACCTGCTCCAGTGTTGGTAAGTCTGGTCTTGAAACAGCTCACACTCGGTGCCGTCACAACACACTCTGGCAGGTTGTTCCAACAGTTCACAATTCTCACTCCGAAAAAGTTTGCCCTCACAGTTTTCTGGACTTGTGGCTTCTTCAACCCTGAGCTGTGACCCCTTGTGGGGCGAGCGTCCGCCAGCTCCAGGTCAGGACACTCGACTGAGTAGTTGCTTTATATCAGGGGTTCTCAACCAGGGGGGGAATTCAGGTTGTGGGGTATGAGATTTTTGGTTCACACTCAGGATGGAATGGAGAAAGGAAACTCACAATGTGCTCTCTATATACATGTTGTATTGGATGTACAATGCAGCTTGGTGCTGGGAAGGCAGCATGGTTACAAGCGTCATGTAGAGAGAGCTGGTTGGTGAGGACGCTCAGAGAAGGACAGCTTGTGGGTCGCCATGCTCGCCGGCGGGATCGAGGACCGCCAGGCAGGCGGAGGAGGAGCGAGGGCCGCCAGGCAGCGGAGGAGGAGGAGGTGTTGCTGGCTGCGACTGTAAGTAGAAAGAGGCAGGTCACCACGAGGTCAGGTCTTAAATAGCGGGGGTAGGCGTGGCTTAGTAGTTGACCCCCGCTCCGTGGTGTATGGCGGCGCTGGTTGACCTAGACCACGAGGCATACACTGGGGAATTGGTGGGGTCGACTACTCAGCGACAAACAGCGTTTGTAGGGGAGAATTCCACTACAAGGTTTTCAGGGGGGGGGGGAGAAACTGATTCGGGAGCAAGAGATATGTTCGATGAGAAATCAATCACAGAATTTTGGCCCTTGATGTGCGATTCCTACCCAAAAGTGGCAGAAAGAGCTATCCGTGCATTGCTTCCGTTTGTGTCGACATATCTTTGTGAGTCAGGCTTTTCAACTCTGTTGCAAATTAAAACGAAGCAACGTAGTAGATTAGAGGTAGAAAATGACCTGCGTTGTGCCCTTTCAAGCACTCCTCCGCGTATCCCAGAATTGGCGAAGAAAAAACAATCACAGGTTTCTCATTGACTGTAATCTTCATCTGAAGAAAATTTATTACAAATTTACAATATCCTGGTATTCTATTGAACTTTTTGTTTATTGCATTATGCTTCAGTTTGGTCTGTTAAGTAATTCATTATAAATAAATAAAAAACTTTTTCTTTTTTTTCAAGTTTTATAAATCCATCAACATTTTCAATTGGCATTTAATTTGTAAAACTCCACTATAAAAATAATCCATGTAAAATTGTAAATGTATATGTACTAATATGGAAAAAATGAAGGATTTTCACTATTATATGCATATTATTTGGAATGCACTTATTGAGGCAGACAATCTTGGAAAGGAGGGG